CTTCCCCAATCCTTTGTCCACTCCCCCTTTCGGTTCGGCACTGTCTTGTCCTGACACAACTATTATAAACTGACTCGCGGGAACCACAACTAATTAATATTTAATAAATACATTCAGTTTTCCAATCCAGAGGAGAAAACACCACACCAGGTGTTTTACTCCTCTGGAGAAAGCAAAACTGTCCAACTCAGCAAGGCTTGTACTCCCCCATGTGATGGCTTTTGAGCAGGACAGGACAAGGTAAAAAAAATAAATAAATAAATAAAATGGCTGTGTTTGATGTGGAGAAGTACGGAATCGTGAGTTATTTTGATGATTAAACTCTTAAATAAAAATAATTGGACTGAACTGTCATTCCCCTAACTTACCAGATGGCTTACTTTCTATGAACATAGATTTGTCCAGAATGTCGGGATTTCCTGAAAAAAAAAAAAAATATATATATATATATATATATATATATATATATATATATAAATATTTCAGATTTATTTGGATTTAACCAGTCCCTTAAGTTGGGAATTGGGTCAGACTCACATTCATAATTACCATATTTGAATAGGCATTTGTCACTGGATTTCAGGTGCTGAGGCGTCATATACATACCCCATTCCTTTTCGGTCCCGCAGCAAATTCAAACATTTGTTTCTTTAAAAACCCCCACTCCTCTGTGCCTAACCATTTTGGAGAACATTCAACTGATTTCTAGATCTTGCAATAGCACATTTAGCATAGCTCAAAATAGATCATTAAAGTTGTCGACACCAGAATTTCAGTTCAAAATGGTCAAATTCAATATCTATTTTTGCTATTTTAAACTTTCCATTGTGTAATACCAGTGTAAAATACCACTGTAAATTAATGTTGACATTTTGCAAACTGGCACAGTTAGAAACATAACCCACCATTCCCTGGAGTAGGTAATGGAGACGTAATTGTCGTAATAACAACTTATTGACAAATAACATACATCTCTGTTCCTTTCTTCAGGGACCGGTGGATAACAAAAGTAACCAAGAAGTTTCCTTACAGTCATTCTCTTGAACTAATTCATGGTAGGATAGCCACACTCTTCAGTGTTACGTGACTTCACTGATTTTATAGGGTATTGCCGGGCAAGGATCAGAAGGATTTCACCCAAGTAGGTTAGTGTGACCATTGCTGCTAACCTTCCTGAAGTCAGCCTGTATGAAGGGAGTTATGAGGGGTTTCCCAAGCAGTAATTTTTACGATCCATACATTGTAGAGTATGACTTAAAGGGAACATCTTGGTTGCTTGCATATCCCATCCTTGAAGGAGGAAACAGAGACATGTTCTCTTCTCCATACATGTGAGGTCAGTGAAGGTGCTGTGAGGTAGGCATTTTTATTTTGCAAACTATTTTAAGTTGGCTTTATTTCACCATGTGCAAGCCTGTCATGATGGAAAAGTAAGTAGATCTATCTCTGTGCTTGTTTTTTAGAGCATGGACCAAGATGGAAAATTTACACCCACTGGTGCTCTCACCAGTGTTCACCCAGTTCTCTCACCAGCACAGCAGCAGTAGTGAGTGGGGTGTGGTGCATGAGGGCCTGACTGTTAAGGAGGGAAAAATTCTTTAAGTGCCTCAGACTGCAGATGGGATAAGACCTATCCTCTGAGCATGAAGCCCCAGCCACTGCATGTGGAACCCCACCCAATGTATGTATAGCCCCACCTGTGATGTTGAACTGTGATGTAACAAACGAGCTACAGGGTTAAGCATAGGGTTGGAATGAGGGAGTACAACCAAATACACGACACATAGACAGGACATCACGTTCAGTGGGTGGGGCTTAAACCGTCTGCATGTGAGAAAAAGAAAAACATTGTATTTGATTTAAAATGTGACTATTGGTGATCTCTATTTAATCAATAACAAGAATTTACTACAAATGTCTAACTGCTACAAATTTCGAAAAATAGAGAATGATCCATTTTTATAATCTTATTGTAACAGTCATAATGAAGCACATAATATAAATATAAACCATGTAAAATTTTGCCATGCAGATTGTTGGATACAGATGCTGAATCTTTATTTTTGGCTGCACAAACCATGTGTGCACAAATGGGCCCATCGGGCAAGAGCTGCAGGACCACTGAGGATAGAACAAGGTATGGTATGGAAGGGTAGAGAAAGATGACTCAATCAGCCAAAAGCACCTGCTCCAGCCACTCCACAACACTCAGCCCTATTTACACGCACACACACACGCACACACACACACACACACGCACACACACACACACACGCACGCACGCACACACACACACTCACAATTCAAATCATAATGTTTTCTTTGGGAAGGGCGCTTTTCAGGCTGTCAAATTCAATCACATCTCTTCAATTCCAGCTAGTTTACCTTAGTTTTGTGTCTGAGTCTGAGAGTTGAGATCTGGGTTTTTGTTCCAGCAGCTTGCAGAGGCATAATCTAATAATCATTCTGTGATTTTTAGCTTTTGTCTGAGTGTTGCCTCAAATCATCCAAAATCTCTTGCTGAAATTGATCTATCATGCAATGAAAAGCATTTAAAATGAACCAAAATGTCAAGGTCATTTACACATCTTTCTCTTATCTCTGAATCACTCATGTCTCCCATGCTAAAAACGGTCTCAAAATGATCTGTATTGTGCTTATCATAAACAGTAAATTAAGAATTCAAACTCTTCTTAGAAATCATATTTAATATTCAGGAAACACAAGCACAGCTTTGAATTCTTAAATGAGACAGACTGGAGCTGCTCAAATGTTCATAAACAAGTCTGGAAACTATACTCGGGTGAACTGCTGAGTTTTACGCAGGATTTGTAAATGTCAAGAGTTGCCAATCATTTGCTGCTGAGGGATGATCATTTGGACTGTTAACTGGCAAAACAAATTGAGCTTCTTGTCTGCATGCTGTAATCTTTTGCCTCGGATTGTGGGCTTGAGTTCACTCGGGTCGGGTAACGACGCGCTCGCAGTGACTTTGGTTTATTGTAATTATTTGAAATTTAATTTCAGTTAAATGGTTTGACACAGAACATTTCATTTATTTAACTTACGTTTTTTGATGTGTATCGTGATATATGTTGTGACTCATGAGTACGCTTTAATTTTTAACACAATTACATTCAAGAGTTTATTAAACATTAATATTTGTTTTGTTATATCTCTGGGGTTTCATTATATTTAAGTGTGTTAGGTATTTATTAGTCACTAGTGACGAGTTAAACCAAATCCAAGCAGCCCATCATTCTACTTACCGCGTTAGCACCGAGACAGAGTTGTGAGGGTGTCACAAGTGGTTATGCTAACTAACACAGCACTGCTAAATTATAGCAGGAAGCTCTCTAATCCACTTTAAAGCAATAATGACGTCCTAAATATTTTGCTTTATACAGAGTGATCAAAAAAAGCTCAAGGTCCTGACCTTGCCCATCTGGCGGCTCAAGACACGTGACGTGACCCAAAATAGCAGGTCAAAGTTTCTTTTAGCTGAACTGTCTATTGTTGTGGAATCGTTGCTGTAAGCTGTGATCCCGTTTAAGCCGATGGAATTTTTTCATAATGTGAACCGCGGTCAACAAGGGACACAGCAAGATTCCCACAAACTGCATGTTTGTGTAATAATCAACATAATGAACACATGAGGACATAAGTGACAGGGATGGAACGGGATGTGTCCTTTCATCATGTTTTTACTTATTTCCAGAAATGCAAGACACTCTCAAACAGCCCACTATCTGCACAGGAAGATCGTATTGTTGATATAGTTTTTTCTTTCCTTGTTAAGCTTGGGTTTTGAAAAGCTGCTGGCTCATGAGCTGCTTAAAGCCCTCAGGGATCCAAACAGAACATTTATTTGCGTGTAGACCTGCAAACTGCTCTGTGCGCTTACCCTGTCACACTGTTTCAGAGAGGGCAACCGACTTGCTAATTAAGAAAATGTTTACAGCTCTCTGCATAAATTACGTGCCTGCCTACCAAATGAAGTCACAGAGATCCATGTATGGCTGTTCTCTAAAGGTGTGTATTATTATTAATAATAATAATAACAATCTGTTACTTCTGATAAACTTTTATATGGATTTCACAATCCTTTCTTCACAGCCATAAAGAGCCTCTAAATTATAGTGATAAATAACTTTTTCACTGTTAAATGTCAGAAGAATTCCAAACATAACATAATACATTTGGCAATGCGGCAAGTAAACTGTCTTGTATAATGTATGTTTTTTCCCAGGCTTCTGTGTATAGGTTCACTTCATGCCCTATTATGAAGATTTTATATATTTTTTGCTTGAGATAATAAAACAACAGACGTGCAATCAATGTTACCAACTCCTTGCTAAGGAGAGTTACTACTGGTTGTCCAAAATATCAGATTTGTAGGGCTGTAATTAAGTTTAACATTGTTGAGCCTAAGTCTAATCTGAGATCAGGAGTTTCCAGTCCCAGATCAGTCGGGATGAGGCATGAGGCATCTTCATATAAATAAATACCATTATAAATCATAGTAAGTACTACACTGTCTTTGAACCATATAATAGTACTAGAAATTATTATAATACTTTTTTATTCCATAGTTGTAATAAAGTATATATTTTAATAGTATACTAGTAATAATTTAGAACATGCACAACAAATTGGAATGCATACTACAATTTGTTGTGTTTTTTAGATCTACAGCCAATATACATATGTTAACAGATAACACATGGATTAATATCTCTATCATAGTAGATTTTTATTAACAATTAAAGTGAAGTGAAAGTGACGTTAGGACCAAGTATGAAGTGACCCATACAAGGAATTTGTGCTCTGCATTTCACCAATCCAAGTGCACACACAGCAGTAAATAAACACACCGTGAACACACACCGGGAGCAGTGGGCAACCATGGGGAGCTGTGGTAACTGGTGACTTGCTCTAGGTCACCACAGTAATGGTTGTGACAGGAGGGAGTGTCAACACTCATCCCACCTCCAACTCCCAGTGGAGCTGGGGATCGAACCGGGGACCTTTTGATCTCCAGTCAATCACCTTATCCACCACGACTGCCACAAAGTGCACAGTGGATGCACTGTTCTTTCACTGTACATTTAACAGAACAGTGAAAGGTACCATTCTTTCTCCAGCAGAACTGGAGAACATGTAGTTTTTTCACATAATACTTGTGGCCTAGGCATTGAACCTAGCAGAGCTTGTAGATTACTTCTCCTCAGGACTGGACCTGATGATTTCCTTGCCTTAGCATTTGCCCCATCCCAGAAAGCAGAATCTACATTGAGGGGCAACATGGTGTTGTAGCATACACCACTTGGAGGATTCTGAAAATTCCATCATTTAATTATACCAAAGGTTACGGTATGTATTTTCTGTTTGAGAGGGGAGCTACACTCACCCCCATTTTGCAACCAGGGTACTCCTCCTTCTCACGACTCGAAGTTTAAATAGTGGCATGTGAATTAAACATTTTTTATAAACACAAAACACTATCCTCTTGCATATGAATATTATCTAAATTCTTTTCCATCTTTCAATGGAGCCCAAAACCAATGTGGAAATATCTTAGTTCATGACACCCCCAACACTTTCACACTAGCATAGGTCTTTGTTGCAATTGCAAAAAATACAAAATCTGAAGTGGTTAACATTCAAAAGACGCACACACCCATAAAAATAACATTCTGTAACTGTGATTCTATTTTTTTCTCAACCTTCCTTTAATATTGAGATGACCAATGAGGATGACATGCAGCTGCGGGGCAATCAGCTGCAGGAAGGTAGTAGAGAGTATGCACCTGTCCAGCCAGAGCAAATTCTCTGTCCTGGGAAATAACACAGACTACTATGAATATTGGTAGTATGGGTCAAGTTCAGACGTACTACATTAGCCTTTACACACCTACGCATCTTTAATCTTTAAAACACGAGTGTTAATGTGATTTTTACACACTAGCCGAAAAAAAAAAATCAGTTTTAAAGAAACGCTGCAGAAGAAGCCACGCAGAGTCCCTTCAGAACTGCAGGACTGTCTGAGGCAGCAGGACTGCAGGACAGATTAGTGATAGAGGATTTTATACTGCATGACTTTAGCAGATTCATAGAGAACTTTGTCCATGTTCTCAAACTCTTGTTTGTCCATGTAACCAAACACTTGTGGGAATTGTTTTGAAAACAGGACAAGGTGGATGTGGCTCTTTCATTGGCTGCAGATAATCACAGATGTTATTTGCATGCCACAAATCTCACGACCAGACTGTAACTCTTGCTGAGCGAGTCTTAGATACTGCACACTGTGTGATTGACACACAAGTGCACGAGCTCCGATCTGCCTGCGAGTTGTAAACGATTGTTGGGGCTAAAGTTCACCAAGTGTTCAGAAGAGGGTCTGTGCACTAATTTTTAAATGCAAGAGAATTGATGAAGGCAGCTGACAATGCAGCCACTGCATAGGTGTGAAAAAGCCTTTATTGCATCAGTTTTATCTCATCCCTTTTATTGAGAAGTCACATTAAGGGATTGAAAAGTGTAGATATTGTGCATTTATGAATCTTTTCAGATGTAGTACTTTTGTTTTAAAGCCATTTGAATGTACTGCTTGTGTGGTGTTTCACACACTGATTAGTATGAAGTTTACTCTTTCCAATGTGCCCTCAGTCATACAGATCCACATTTATAATAATACTTTAAATGTTAAAGAAACACTTTTAGTCAGTACCCTGTGTTCCCTGCTTTCACTTATTAGATCCAACCTATTTAGCTTCCTGTTGATGGTTTTCACCTGAATGCTGCCTCATTAGTCCTCTTCTCCCTGTGTATTTAGTCTCCATCCTCCAGTTTGTCATTGTCTATTATTCTCTCAATGTCAAGCTATAGTCCTGTGTTCTCCTCACTCCTTGTAGACACATTCGGTAAGGAAAGAGGAACATTCTATCATTCTTTATTTAAATGCCTGAGAGTAAAGAAGAAAATACGTTCCTGAAAAAAAAAACAGGAATTTATTAAATAAAAATTTAGAGAGTCCAATCCCAGACATCCACAAGAACATTGTGGTCTTTGGAGACGTTGGTCCCTCGAAATCATTCGGGTAAGTGGTAAGTGTTTTACAGCTTTGTGCAACTTGTTATCAGCATCATGACACTTGTGGTTATACCACATTTTCCATATTGTTGTAATGCCAATTTGCTCTGTGTAGCAAGTTAACTACAGTGTCATTTTCATTAATCAAGTGATGGTTACAGAAAATAGGATCTCAGTTGAATTAGTGTGTTAACTTTACAAAGTATACTAATTCTAATAGACTACAATGTGCAACTTTTAATACAGACATTGCTGACAGAAAGTGTGGTTGCAATAATTATTTTCATATTACGTTTAAATAGTTTAACTGTTTTAAATCCTAAATGCTTCAGTATTTTTCCTGCTTGACTATTCTTCCAGTTTTTGTGTACAGAGCGACCTGACATTTATCATGACATTACCTTTGAACATTTAAACTTTTCTCATCTATTAATTTGGTTTGTCAATGTCTGGGATCATCCCATCCTGTATTTAAGACGGACTGCCAAGCCCAAAGGGTATGCAACCAACGCAATAGCTTTGGGTTCGATCTGCTTTCTAAAATCGTTGCATGGATCTTCAATAAATACTTTGTGATTTTGTCAATTCATAATTCGACTCCTTGATATTTTTGCCTCATTTTTCACCACAAGTTGTTTGACATCTGAACATTCACTTCAAAGGTTCCCGGTGCAGTGACCACTGCGTGTCCTTGCTTTACTGCACCCTATGTTTTGTTTCACATATCATTTTTCCCTTCTGTAAGACCCTCTATTATATAGTAAAACTGCAGCATATAACAGAAAGGTAAGCAGTAGGAGAGTTGATATGAAGGATAAATGTAGAGCAGTTTAGTAGCTGCTGTTTACTCTGCAAGATTTGCCACTTTAAAGGACATTTGGTGCCTTGTTATCTCACCAGTTTATTTCTGTTCTTTAAATAAGTGCAGTTTTGATTGTAAGACATCACTTGGAATCATTTCAACCGAGTACCTGATATCACATCACAGCTGCCAAACACAGTGATCACTTGCTTAGCAATGAAAACATCTACACAAATCATGTGCATCTGTGTTAATAATGAACTGCCAGTGGATGCAACCAAAGACACCATGTCCCCATTTAGTAGTTATACATCTCAATAACACCATAGAGTATCTATAGACTATGAAAAAGAACCAATGACCTGTCATTCTGTTCCTATTTTAATGACAACAGGCAACTAGCTTTGGGACAAACTGTTTTCCACAAGGTTATTTGAGGTTGAAGGGTTTAATGTCGTCCGGTTGTAATATTGTCGATTTAAGTCATTGAGAAAAATGTCACTTCACTCAGCAAGTGATGAAATCTGACATATGGCATCAAAGCATCATTAAGACTACACCTGCTGGAGGAGGGTCGAGGTCTCAAAGGAGATTTTACCAGGAGGGGAAGTGATTGCAGGAGAAGGAAGGGCATGAAACAGCTTGGAGGCTCCACTGCTGGGAAGATACAAAGTAATAAGCGAGTAAATAGATCTACAGTCAAGTCTTGACATGAATTCTGCGTAGGTTAAAAGCCCAGCATGTGAAGAGCTAGTTCTGGAGCACTGATCGATCAGACTCTTTGGGGATTTCATTAGTGCAGACCTCATGTAACGTACAACAGAGTTATAAGCTTTTATTTTGTCTAGGAAGAGTTTAAATTCAGTGACAAAAAAATTGCAATACGAACATCATCCTCTTTTTGATGCCCTAGCTTACTACAATAATAATATAGGGTGTAGACAAAATCATGTTTCACTTATTAACATAACATTGTTGATGCCTTGAGGAGGAATCCATTATATTATGTCTTTCTTAACTCATGGATTTGCATTGTGAGTGACATTAATATTGTTGTGGTTGATGTGGTGTTGATGACAGATTCAAACCGAATATGGTTTGTGCTATGGGACCAGGTGTTTAAGTCCTGACCTCGAAGTTGTCATTTACCAACCTTCTTCTGTTTTGTTTCCTGTCTGCATTATTGTCCTGTACGGTAATGAAAAGGAGGAAAAAAGCTTAAAAATAAATATTTGTATAAAGTAGCCTGCTCTGTAGTTGGATATGTTGAATCTGAACCTGTGTTTAGGTTACACATGTGTTAGAAACCTCCACATACCTTTAGAAATGGTGGACTAAGAGGAAAAGCTGATAAAGTTATTAATCTCTTGATCGGGATGGGAGGGGAATAAAAACCAACAGGAGTGGGCAGGAGCGGGAACACCATTAATAGATTATAATTTTCTGTGTTAAGCAATCCAATCGAGATCTGCCGATTTTTTTGTAAATCTTTCAGCGCGTCAAAACACGAAGTCCTAAGAGCACGTTTTTTTCCAGGTCGGCAACAGAAGTTAACCCTTTAACAGCGAAGCTAGAAACAGACCTTTCACCAGGAGAGCAGTGACAGACAAATGATTGATTTCCTGTGATCGCTTTAGCAACAGTTTAGCGGAGATGTCACTAAAAATATAATATTTATACTGTATATAATAGTATAAGCATTGTCTTAGTAGTAGTAATAGGTTTATTAGAGTTAGATTGAACTGTTTTTACCTGTGTTCTGTCCGTGATTCTTTTTCCGCATTCGCGCACATGGGTCTTTTTTTTCCTAATTTCCTCACATTCTTCTGCCATTTTTGGCACACTAAATTGATAGATTTCAGTGCAAAAACACTTGTAAATAGTGAAAGAAGATGTTTACACCATCACCGAGAGCCCCTGTGAGTTTTGTGAATTTTTCAATCCCAGTCATATGTAATAAAACCTTTATACACAGGGTTTATTCCCAACAATAATGTTTTTCAATATATAGTGTAATTTTTGACATTATTTAAATTGAATTTATATAATATTGCTCTGAAAACTGCTCATGCTCTTGATTCCAACAATATATTGCTTCATTAATTTATTTTTAATCTTTTGCTAATTTTTGTAAAGAAACACAAGGGTTTCTTTTGGATAAATCTAATCTGATGTA